TTGTAAGTGCTAGAGCTGTTGTAACAGAGAGTACTACAGATACTAGTACATGATACRAACATAATACACAAGGGGTTCTTTTCTCCAAAACGTTTTTACTAGATTAAACGATAAGTACACTTACAAGTTCCACTTATMAACTTCAATCMTAGCCTAACGTGTTCAYAAAYCACACATGATCTTGTGAACCTATCACTACCCCTTAGCCCATTTGATCAAGATCTCTTTTTACTAGACAATCTCCAATCCCCTTTGCTAAGACATATGATCTAATTGTGTTAAACGTCTCTCCACGTTTTTACACTCCTATTTATACACAATAGGAACAGACGGCTAACCCTAGTCTTGGTCTTCGAGTTTGGAAGATATCACATCTTTGTAGAATATCCCCTTTCCTTAATCTTAGCCAAGATATAAGGAAATCTTCATGCTCCTTGATCCTCCCAAGGAACGCTTCCAGCTCACCTAGAGCATCAAGTCACGTCCATCCTAGTTTGGTCCAGCCCACTCTTCAAGCCCACGAGGCCTTAAGCTCAGCTAGTCCGCTCGTACAACCTCATGTAATACTTCACGACTGGTACATGTCACTGCTACAACCCGAAACTGCTTTCTTAATATTTCAGATAATTTATTATCCGCTTCTCAGCTCCATAGATTGAACAGCTATATCAACTCATATTGAATTCTAAAACTCATTCAAACATACACTTTCATTGATATCATTAGAATGAAATATTAGCTATTACAAAAAAAAAGGACAATTAGTCTACTAATCATATTGGGACATATAATAAAAGATATAGCCATTCTAATTGTTTTCTGTTCTGCCCTAATTGTTTGCACAATCCATTTTTGACTTTTGTTCTTAACGACAAGATCTCATAGGTGTACTACTTGACTGCTAGTAACAACTTTTTCTTCTCCATTTAAACCTTACCTGCTTAAAAAATTGATTTGAGCAGATTATGCTTTTAAAATATGGGTTATAGGCACCATTATCAAAATTAATAATATATGGGTTAGGTAACACGTTCATTTTGTAGGTAGTAATTGGAATTGCATTTTAACAGTAACTACGAATACGACTAGAAAGACCGCACAAGATGGCAAGAACACATACGTAATAGTGGTTAGTGTAAACTTAACTTTTGTGTTGTACGTATAATATTTGCAATTTGGTTTTCAGTGTCGCTAGCTATAATAATAATTATATTGTACAATTCAAGATTTTAGATGCGTTGACAAAATATTAAACCTTAGATTATTATCATGGTACAGTGAGACAAGAAGTAGATATTCCGCATATGATCATATTTAGAGACTCTACCACAAAACCACCCAATACGACATAACAGATTACAGTGTGCATACATCTAAATGGAAATGCTGTTTGGGACACCACGACCAGTGACTCCATGTGGTGAAGTAGGAAGAAGTAGCTCGTAAGGAGGCATTCCAGCTCCTGTTCTGTTCTTGAGTTTCTTATCTTTGTTTCTCTCGTTGATCTTCTTCTCTATCTCCTCAACTTCCTCCGAGAACTTGTTAAAATACTTTACCACTTCCTCATCTTGAAACCAACGTCTCTGAACTTCTCTCAGGTCGATCAAGTACTCTTCGTCAGGGGAATGCGTCGAGAGCGTCTCTTGAACCGCCATCACTTTTGTTGCTTGAAGTTGTGTTGGTAGAGAGCTTAGAAAGCTGTATTGAGGGTTTCTCATGAACATTTCGTAGTCCGGGTCGTTTTCGTGCGGTATAAGTTTCCTCAACAACGTAGGTCGGTTCGGGACATACCCTCCGAACGGGTACTGGCCAAAGTTAATGGCGGCGTGTTGACCCGAGGCGATCCATATCATGTTGGTTAGGATTTGGGACAGGTCTTGTGTTGTGTTGAGTTTGGGCCACCACGGCTCGTCTTTCTTGTCGTAGTGACCTTTGTTCTTGATCTCATCCCACCAAGCTTGGAGCTCAAAGTCAGATGTTATCGATTTGGGATCAGCGTAGAAGTGTTTGACGTATGATTCAACTAGGTTCTTGATGGCTTTCCATACTAAAAGACCGTCTGCTGCATATGGATAATCTTCGATCACAAGCTTCACGCCACATTCGGCCGAAGAATCCTCCTCTGCCATTCCCCTGTAAACGATTCAAGACCGCATTAGAGAGAGACATATGAACCCAATAGTGTTTTTTTTGTTTTGTTTTTAAAGCAAAGCAAAGAGGTTTTAACCTCCGAACAAGATCGGCAGGAAGTCCTTCCATGTCAAACCGCCACATACTATTGTATGCTGCAGAGCTTAGTTCCATTGCGTATTTTCCGGGAGTGAAGCAACTTTCGATAATTCCTCCTCCATTGATTAAGCTTTTACGCGCACGTGCATTGATTTCTAGCGTGTAGCGCATATGCGGGTGAAGCAGCTTGTATACCGGATGCATAGTACTCAATTGTCTATTAGTAGCAATGATGTAAGGCTCCATGGAAGCGTGAGTCCTTAGCCTGAGAGTTGCAAAAAACAAAACATGTCTTTTGAAATACATCAACGGAGACAACAAATCAAGCTTGACAAAGTTGAAGTAGCTTAAATTACCAGTGGTTCACTAGTTGGTGAACACCAGCATCATTTGAGCAGACATGAGCTTTGGCTAGTTTCCAAATCCAGTGAGTAGTAGCATCATGTCCGTGAGTATAAACAAACTTGTTCTCGGATTCCGCTGAAGGAGGCAACGAGAGCTCTATGGCCAACGGCCTTAGAGCGCCCGCCTTTGAATAGAAGAAAATTGTTCTGGAAGCATATGTCTTTCTTGGATCCTCTTTGATAGAGTTGATCTTCTCTACAAATGGCAAGAGCATGTCATGGTAATCCACGAGAAACAATCTCTTCTCCTCGAGCGCCTGCATTGACCAATTTACTAAACCATTTAGCCGCGATCAACAAGACGAGAAGAACTGATTTCAATCAGAAAATATACAAAACTGTCACAAGCAAACCTTTTCTATAGTCATTCCATAGTGTGCCACTTCTCGAGCTATCACTTCTTCTGTGAGAGCAGATTCTGGAGATCCATATATGGCGGGGTCAAGCTTGCTTCGAATTGGCAGCTCCTGTCAAAACATACAGAAAGTTTCAGAAACTCTCAAAGAAAAATTCCTGAGTTTAAAAACATACCTTGAGCAGCTCGATGTTCACAGGGTTGACACCAGCAAGAGCTTGACGTCCAAATTCATTGTCTCGCAGCCACGCAAACCTGTCCCCTGTACAACAAAAACACACATAAGAGAAGAATAAAATATGCAATAATATGTTTCAAGAAAATGATGGTACTCTAAAATGAGAACAATATCATAGACAAAATTACATTTTATAACGGCAGGAGTGTCGTATTTCAGCAGTGTTTCGCCAACGTTGAGTATCCCATCCATGAAACCGCCAAGAAAGCCGCCAAGGCCTGTGTCTTTTGGTTCACTAGGTCTCAAGACAATGTCACATTTGTATAATCTATCGATATCCGAGAAGCATGTGAAGGGAATGTCTAAGTTTGACAATGCTGCTGCAATCGATGGCACGAGATTGTGAAAGAGAGCCTTAAATCTCCCAGCTGTAAAAGTGTCTCTTTTGATTTCCTCGAAAACTTCGTCTCTCGGAACATAAAACTCTTCCTTCTCTTTTCCTCTGCTCTCACACGGTGGATCTAAATGATTTCACCAAGTCAAAAACCAAAACATTGTCTCAGTGAAATCACACACAAACTATGCAAAGTGAGTGAAAAAAAGAGGGAGAGATCAATCACCTTTTGAAATGAGAGGCCGGCCAGTCCTGCAGCGTCTTGGATACGGCGTCTCTGGAACACCGAGAACAGGCCTAACTCGATCTTTTTTACGTGGATCGCCCAAATCGTTGTAAACATCGTAATCATAAATCCTCTCATGCGGTTTTCTCTCGCCTTTTCCGTTACCACGGACACTGACTAAGTCCTTTTCACGTAGTTCTTTGATCCCAGCCGGAGTTTGTGAAGGTAGGCATGGCTATAAAACAACATAATGAATATGTTGCCACTAGTTAGAAAAAACACAAAACTCAATGATAAAAAAAAAGAAGAAATGATTCTCACTTGACTTCTGAAGATAATCCTGCCTCGAGGATTATCATTCCTGGAATGGATCCAGGTGTTACCAGGGAAGAGAATGGTGTCACCGGAATCACGGATGATAATCTCAGACAAGCAAATCTCCGAGGAAAGGAGATTGGTGACAAGAATGGCACCAGGTTTACCAAAGTCAGTAGGGACTGTGAAATCGGCAGTGAATTCGAGGAATCTTGGATTGTTCAGAGCCTTTGGGAGTCCAAGCACTGGAGTTTCTGAACTCCTCCTGCCTGTACCAGTTTCTGTAAAATAAAATAAAAAAAAGAACTGATTCATATACATATCCAAGTTTGATTCCTATACATATAATCGGCAGTGATTCCTATACCTGACATAACTTGTAACTATGCAAGTGTCCAAACAAAAACGACAAGAACAAGGTAGCGTATTGTTTTATTAGTTTCGATGTTGTTTCACTATCCTAATTCGAATCGGAATAATGTACTATTACATATTATTGTTAGAAGAAAAAAGTAAATAAAAACGTGTTGGTAAATGCCTAATGCCATATAACTTCAATTAATAAATTCGAGAGACGTGCAAATATGGAATTAAGAACTCAGAAAAAAAAGAAAAAAAAGTCAAGTGTCTTTTTTTCTACATTCTTTAAAAGACTCGCTAAACTTTTAGTATTATACTAAAGGGTCAATACTAAGCCCCACGCATGTACTATTCTGAAAAGTAGTAGAAGAAAAATACTAACAAAATGGAAGGCAAGTTATTTATATCAGATCTAGCCAGGAAGATGAAAGATTCGGTCTTGCAATATATTTGATCCCACTACATCTTTAGAATGACCAACTTGTTCAAGCACAAAATACATGACAACTTCGGAAGAAGGGATATACTACTATATTAGTAATATAGAATTGACTGGGTCTTTCATTAATCAAAATCCATAACCATAGAAATATCATTAATTATATACGACTAATTAGCTGTCATTTCGAACCTAAACACCAAAAAAAACAAAAATCAGCTGCGATCTAAAGAAAATTCAGGTAGCAAGAAGCGAAACCGGAAAGGAAAATAAAAAAAGCTAATTTTCAAGACTGTTGTAATAAATCCAAACAAGACAAGAAACCAAAACACACAGAAACGAACAATCTTGTAACTCTAAAGTGTTCATTTTGTTCTCTAGCCCAAAAACTTTTATGACAAAAAAGTGACTCAACTGATTTTCAGATACGC